CAGTGTAATCTTCCAGACTGGCTCTGAAGTGAGCTTGAAGTGCTGTCACTGATGTTATAAATGAATGCTGAGCTCCCATCTTGGGAGCTGCGCGCACTCGGGCTGTGCAGTGGAGCTGTCCCTGAGCTCGTTCTTGCTGGTCAAAGCTCAGCCAGAAAGCGGCTTCTAGCCCTGAAGGCCCTAGCTGTGATGCCGTGCCTCCAAGACTGGTCAGGCGGCCTCACGGCCTGACTAGTCGGGGGTAAAAACCCTCTGAGGTGCCCTGTGGGAACTGGGCCCCAGTGCCAAATTTTGCCTGGAAGATCCCCTCTTCTTTCAAAGGTGAAGGCAATGGGGTTGAGGTGGGCCTGAGGAGCCGTCCCTCAAGGAGGGCCCTGGGATCAGCCAGACGTTGGCTCGGCTTTCCTCGTGCTCCAGTAATATTTCTGAAGCCTTTTCCTTGGTCAGCAGCTCAATGTAATTGTCTCTGCCACACGAATAAAACATTCGGGACAGGTAGTTTTATAATGAGCCGTAGCTTGAACCGAGCCAGGACTGCTGGCAGACTGCAAGGCAAATTCATCTGCTTTTTGGCTTCTCTAAGAGACTTTCTTTGTTTTTATGGACGGTACTGATTTATGAGGGCACCAGGCCCCTAAGAATAAGCATTTGCACTTGAGAGACTCTTGTTTTCTGTGTCTACAATCTTTAAAAGAGTTCATCTGATCAGCGGTAATATAAAACAAGCCACATAATAGGATCAGCCACTGTATCTCCCCCCCCCTTTGAACAATTCAGTACATTTAAAAAAAAAAAAAACCATTTGTTGGAGGCTTTCATGTTTTATCACAATTGTAATACCCAAAGAACAACACTAGGACACAAAACGTATAACTCGTGCTCCTTGGAGGAGCTGTGGCTGGCTGTGTAAATAAACAGCGTCCATGTAAATAGATGTTTAATCATTTTTTTAAAACCCTATATTATTCATTCAACCATGGCAGTTTCGCAGGAGCTGTTGGATTCTGATGTGTATATTTATTAAATGTTAAATATTTGTTTACGTATCTACTGGATAAATATGTACTTAACGATTGCTTTTAAGTATGTGCTTTTTCTCTTACCGTGAGTTTGAAGCCCTGGTAGTGTTTGCTTCAAAATTGTTTTCAGACTTGCTGCTCATGGGGAGAAATCACTTGCGGTTGCTCCTGCATCCATGTTGATGTAGTATGATACTATTATAGTCTGCATCTAAAGTTAAAGGGACGTATGGGTCAGTTTCGCTCTGAATGCGACATGTTAAATGCTGCACAGTAGAGTAAATATATTCAAGGATATTGTGATATCATTGGACCTTAATAAATATTCACGCTGTTTGGATCTGAGATGTCGTATTTGATGTTTGAGTTATTTTTAATTCAATTCTACTTAAAGTTTTGAGGTGCTGCTTGTATAGATGTCGTCTTTACTAGCTGACGCGTTAGCTGATTCAGTAGCTACGAGGCCAAAACCGCAATGTAAAACGGTGTAAAGCAAAAACCCTCGGAAACAAGCTGAGGAGATGTGATTGCTCCTCGGAGGACTGCGCTCGTGCCAGTTTGTTGCAGTTGAGCTGTAAACATCTCCAGTGCCTGGCGGCTGCTGCTGCTCCTTGGGGAAAATGCATGTATTCTTGTTTCTTTTTCCACATCTGAACAGTCAAAAGTGGAAAGCTCTGGAGAGAGTGTTCCTTGAAACTTCTGATTTCTGCCATGTGTGCATTTAAAAAAAAATCTTACTTAAAATATTACGTGCTTAGGTGTGTAACTTAATGTTACCGTGGGCGACAGGAAACTTAATTTTTTTTTTCTGTAGCAATACTCATCTATTTTTTCAGGAAAACAGTCTTATACAAATACAGTATTTTCTTCCTCTGTGGACTTTGTCCATTAGGAATCCATAATTGCCCTTGTCCATCCTGTCAGACTGTGTGTGCAAAGTTCAGCATTGTATTCCTTACAGGATTGCTCTACTTCTCGGTGCTTCGTGATAACTTTGGGGTGGTTTTTGAGCTGTTTGATTTAGCAGAATTTGTTTAACTTTAGTAAGGATATTTTAGCTTTCTATGTTTCACACCGTTTCTTTTTTTTCCTGGTATGATTTGGTGGAAAAAAGGGGTCAGTTTTTATTCTGTCGTATTACTGTTGTGTATAGAGATGCTTATTCTTAGAGCAGCATCGTTGATATCTTTGTGGTCTACGTAATGTCTCATCAGAGTCGGGAAGCAATCTGCCGAGACTTTATCTATCCTAAAATCTCTCTGGAGTGGACTCAGCTCAAGGATGGCAGCTGAGCTCTGAATATCTTTCTAAAACGAGGCTTCTTCATCGGAAGTGTTAGCTTTCGAAGTTGTAAAACCGAAATCTCTGAGGCCTCTGAGGTGTATATGCACCTTTCTTTGCAGGACTCGTGTGTAGCGTCTGCGTATAGATGTGCTCTTCCTTAGACTGACCTGAAGAAACGAACGGTCTCCTAAACTGCTTGTTTTATTTTTCTGAAATGGAAAAATTTGGAAGCGCAGGGACAGCAAATGCCACCTACTGTATTAGAAATGCTGTGTGTGTGAACTGAAAAAGCGATGAAACAGTGCGTTTTGAATCTCTTCTTAACGTGGGGAGAAAAACAGGTGAACTGAGGACACTTAAATTCCCAACAGTTCCTCGCAAGTTTAATAATGACATGGGGATTCACTTGATGTTAACGATTTGGGCAATGTGGAGATGTTCAGCCTTTGTTTAAAGGTAGTCAAGTAGTAGTTATTGTTGTGAAATTACCTCTCCCTTTTGGAAGCGCCACTGCAAAATCCAGAATGACTTCTGGTTTAAACTGGCAAGGTGGAAGCTTAAGTGAGAGTAGTCAACTTCAGCACTTCAGTAAACTGTGAAGGTGGAAGGCAGGACAAAGCGCTTCTGAGTAGCGCTGGCCAACCTCCCGAGTGTGTTATTCCAGCAAGGGATTTTTACTCTGTTTCCCTCAAGGAAGAACTAGCTGCTCTTCTCCTCTGTTGGCGAAACACTTGTTGAATCTGAAGCTTCCTCTTCATAGCTGTAAAAATAGCAAGGTTTTAAGTATTTCATTTTTTTTTCTTGCAGATAGTTGGACCTCTGCTAACAGGTCTGGTCTCCTCAGTACATCAAGCGTGTGGGAATAACAGGCCCTGTAAGAAAGGCCAAAGGTTCTCATTTGAGCTATACCTGCTGGAGCTGGAGGCTGTGTTGCAGAAGTGCTAGCAGAGGAGGAGGAAGATGGGGACTGTGACTTGGTGCATAGACAGCTGTCGTTGTAGGGCTGCAGTTCGGTAATTCGTGTAACCTTGAGACGTCTTGTCCAGACTGCTAAGGCTTGTCTAGCCTGAAACCAGAACGAACAGTCCCGCAAGGCTGGTGCTACTGCTTCATTTAGGGTGCATCCTTGTTTGAGAGGTGTATTTGTATACGGGCATATATGTATGCTTTTCTCTTTCTGTTTATAGTAGTTTGATGTTAAAATCCCCTAGAATGCAAAATGTCAAGTATGCTCTCTGTATAGACTCCTCCTTCCCCACCTCCCTGTGAGTTGTACTGTGAAGCAAGCTAAGTACATAGTGTCAACCATCTGGGAACTTTAAATATCTAAGAAAATGCTCTCGATCCAGTTTATTAAGCTGTACTCCTTGCTTTCTCTATCCTTTTGAAAAATGTAGTTTTTCTTCCAAAACAGTAGTACGTAATCAGTTTACTCTTTCTAAAGAAGAACAGGTTATGTCCTAGCACTGCTTCCTTCGTATTGACCAATGTTCTGCACGTTGACGTGATTCGGTGTAAATCCAGACCTTAGGGGAAAACGTTGCCTTGTCCACTTGCCTTGATGGAACGTTTGTTAGACGTTTCTGTGAACGGAAACCTTGTTTCCTCTGGGCTCGTATGACTTGGAGTGATCTGAAAGGAAGTTTTTAGGCCCTAAGTTGATACTTGTGTTTTGTGGTGGGAATTAGACCCTCCCTGAACATTTTTGCGTCCTTCTATAAACCGAGTTTATGGAAGGAAAATGATAGCACAACTTCAGTATTGCCCACTCATGGTGGATCAGGTTGCCTTAATTTAAGGCTGCTAAGTAGGAGGAAATTGTCTGTTTGTTTAACTTGGAATGAAATCAAGCAATTTTGTAACCACAGTAGAAAATTACAAGTGGAAAGGAGCAATGAAATCTGAGTGAAGTGCTTTGCTTGGGAAAATTGACAGCGCTTAAATGCTTTTTAAACAATAGCTTCTTTTTACAGTGCTGTAAGGCTCCCTCTAGTTTGTGCTTCTCTTACTGGGACGTTTATTGTATTTGTCACAATGTGTTTTAATGTGAAGAATTATTTTAAATAATGCAGTTCTGGGCTACAGAAGTATGCTAATTCTCTGTATCGGAGCAATAGAACAGGGCTTTGCACAACTTCCTAATGTTACTTGCTCTAAATATGCTCTGAAGTTCATCCGGACCTGTCTTGGCCTGTTCACTCTCCTGACTTTTCTAATTTTTTTTCCCCCCTCTGCTGGACATGAACCAGGCGTCTGTCTTACTGGACACGGGCGTCTGCTTAGTTCACTCACGATTTTGCTGGGAGAGGTTCTGCTGGGTGACGTCTTTGAATCCAGGGCCCCTACTGACTTCTGCAGTTGAAATCGGTTTTAATAAGCAGCACTTCTCTGATATAGTCCTTCTTCAAAGTGCTTTAAAGCAGGAAGAATAAAATATGTATTTGCTGGAAATGATGGCTGACTTCCTGAGGCAAATGCAAGTTGGTTCCCTCAGAGGCTGCGTGCACATGATTCTCGAGTTAATATGTGCATATGTATGTATTACTGTTGGTGGTATTAACGTTGCTTGTTTTGAGTGCCGTGCGATTTTTATGGATGTGTGAGATGCGTATTTACCTATGAAATAATTTGTAATTGCTCCCTTCTGTGTGAGATTTTTGGCTAATGCATGTGTCAAATCTTTCTTGTGCGTTTCAGATCTGCCTTGAGTGAAGTCTGACCGAAAAAATGTTACAGCAGTTTCGTCTCTGGAAACGGTTCGCTGTAGGGATCGCAGTCGCCGCTGTCTTAGCGGGTTGTTTGGCCCAGAATGACGAAGGTAAGGGTTTTGGGGCAAGGGCGCAGTTGTGGGAGGGCGGCTGCTTTTTCCCTAGGCTCAGTACCTAGAGAAGTGGATTGATACTCGGTAGAAAGAGAGGTAACAATAAAGACAGGTCTGGGTGTGCTGTCACTGTTTCAGTAATCTGATGATGATTCAAACAAAGCTGTTAACTTACCAGACAGGATGAAGAAAAGTGTACGTTATAGTTACGGAGTTTTGGAATCTCGCATTTAAATTTGTTTGTGGTTTTCTTCAAAAAATGTTCCGCGCCTTGTTCTGTTTGGAAATAGAGCGCTCAGAACGGTAATTTGAGAGAAAAATTTTGAGTGGGCTGCACATCTAACTGGCCAAAAGCTTGAGAGAAGACCCCAAAGGAGGAGGGTCCTTTAGAGAAGTAATATGTCAGAAATCCTAAAATGATATGGCGGCAATAGGCCGTGTTCATTCTCCCAGCATCTTTGAATTTGATTAAGAATCATGAATGCGTTTTGCTAAATTACCTATAACAACAACAACAAAAAAAAAAAAGGGCACAGATAATTGTTGTTTTTGGAACAATTCTAAATTGAAGACTTGGGTTTGGCAGGCATTGTTAAATACTCCTAAGGATAATGAGGTGATGATAAGGAAAAAGAGGTGAATATGGATTTATGTCTGTAATGAAATTGCACATTATATTAGTGGGTCTTAGGCATTTCACGTAGGTAAGTTGTAATCATGTATTCCTGATTTTTTTTTTTTTGGCAGCATAGTTTGTTTTAGAAAACTATGTTTTGGTAGATACATTAGAACAGTTACGAAGTAGAACAGTCTTGCTTTTTATGAGGAATGTCATAACTTGGTTTTTTTTTAATTTCTTATATCAATTAGAAAATATTCCTTCCCTCTCTCTCAACTCTTTTGTAAATGGCCTCTTATTCCCTTCTGTCCCCCATGCCAACCCTGTATTTTGCTTGATGCTCATGATAAAACAAGAAAACTAATTAAATCTCCTCCGTTTCGCATAACGGCATTACAGCTGTCATTCTTGACACTGAAGTGAAGTGAATGAGCTGCTCGTGTGGTTTAGCTATTTGATCTATGCTTGGATATAGTTAGCTTGCTTTTAATCATTTATAGTGGAGGAGTGGGGCGATTACCCTTTGCGGCGCAGGAGTCGGTGCGGGATGCCAGCTGCCGTTGGAGCAGCAGAACGGCGGAGTGGAGGAGGCGAGCCCGTGTGACCCTGCGGGGTGTCCCCCATCACCGCCATCGCGGGGCGAGGTCCTGGATGTCAGAGCGCGACAGGAGGAAGGCAAAGGGGAGGAGAACGGGACGATGGGATTGTGCTGCGCTGTATCCGTTCCGGGGTCACGAGGAAAGAGGGGGGCCGAAAATACAAAGCAGCGTGTCTTAGTGTGATCTTATTTTTAACCCTCGAGGTTCAGTCTAACAGGTGACACTGTCGTAAATATAGGGAGACATCTTTTAATCAAAATAAAGTTGACAGCGTGACTCTCGGTTGAGTAACAATTTCTAATGGTGCTTTGAAAGGTGCCAGAGCATGCAAAACGCGTGGCACAGATGCGCCAGAAAGCAGCGGAGTAGTTGGTTTGGCATTTCAAAGTAGGAAAACGGATTCTTCTGGTTTTAATTTGTTGTTCCTTTCCGTTACGTGATAATTTTTCATATTCGTGAATGTCCCTGTCTCAAAAACAAATGCACATTGTACCTTTTCATAATATTTGCTGTAAAAGAAGAGGAAAAAGTCTTGCCTTTTGTGATGTTAAGTAAAGCTATTATTTGTTGACGACGGTGTGATTGAAACATTGAAGTGTACTGGCCTCCTTATTGAGAAGCCCGTAGAGGTGTACCTGAAGAGTTAGCGGTCTGTTGTTCGTGTAACTGTTTGTCTGGTGGGGTCACGTGGTAAGAGAGTGCCAATGCAGCTTTTTCGGTTGCGTTTCAGATGTTAATGGGAACAAATGAACGTGGCAGCAGAAACTCAGCTAATTAGTATCCTTCTCAGTCTGTAAAGATTGCCTTACACCACTTTGACTTCTTTCTTGGCTTCTGCTACGGAAGGTTTGGAATAATGAAGATATACACACCTGTTGCTAGATAAGTTGAATCAAGGGGGCTCTGCTTTTCAGTTAATATCAACTGGACTTAGCTAGCCAGGAGTATTGTTTGTTTCCTGGGGGAGAGGTGCAGAGATGCCCTCGCTTGAGCAATATGCAACGAGCCTCCTTGGCACGAACTCGAGAAGCAGTTGAGTTCTGTCCGCTCAGGAGTGTGTAAAATTAGCCAAAACAGAATGTTTAATATCTTTGAGGCAGTGTGCGTAGAAATGTCATAATGCTATAGTCGAGGAAAAAATTGAAGGGAAATTACTTTAAACTGTGTCGTGGAACTGGTTCCTCAGCAAATGTCACCACATAATGAGTCAATGCGTCTAAAAATTAGTTTGAAATGTATTTCTCAAAGCTAAGAAAAAAACCATGTTCCATGCTTAAGTCACTGCAAAAAAGTACTTCAGGGTGCCTTGGACCAGGGGGGTTGCTTTAATTTTTGATCCAAAAATTCATTAATGAATGTATAAGAGAGAGAATCTTCTAGCAATTACAACCAGGGATAGTGTTGTGATTTTAACAGTGCAACAACCTCGCATGCAAAACATGAGGAATTAATTGCTCTAGGGATTATGATCCATTTCTTTACATCTAGTACGCAGATGATCTGTTTTCAAGGTTCTGTCTGGGCTTTTGTCAGTCTCATGCGTGCACTGCTGCGATCTGCCCCAGTGGCTCACGCTTTCCCTCTTTCAGAGGTTCTTACTTGTCCTCCTGAGCCTCAAATCTCTCCCTGGCCACAGCAATTGACGATGTTAGGAAGTAGCCTTGACGGTTTTATCAAGGACTATTTTGAAAATGTGTAGGCTCTTTACTTCCGACTTCCTTACTTTCCTGTCGGCAGGCTTTTCCACAACCTCCTGTGTTCATTTGGCTCAATCCCATTGATTGATTTCTCGCCTCAGTTTACTCATGGCTAGCTAGTAGTGCCTGCATAATCTTTTAGTTTACAGGAAGTCTTTCTTCCGCTGCTAGTGCTTCTAGTCTTCAGCCACGGAAGCATTTAGAGAGCAATAATTCCCCCTTTTGGGTTTTACTTAATAAATGATATAAATTTCTTTAGTCTTCCCTTACCAAACAGATTCCCTTGTGATTCCTGTAAACCCTGTTTCAGCTGAGATTCGTCTCTTGAATGGGGCTGATGGGCTTTGTAGTGGGTGAAATAATCCCGCGGCGACAGCAGTCTCTTGGGCGCGTTGGCGGCTGGCAGTTGCGCTGTAGTCTAACGCAGCTCGCGCTTTTTCTATGGTCGTTTGTACCTGAGGAGCAAATGGCAAAGAGCTTCCGAAGCAGGTGGTTTTGTCAGTCGATGGTGCCTAAGTGGCGTGCAGAAGGATTTTGAATTTGTCCTGTTTGGTTCTTGGTTTTGGTTCCTGCCAGCAATAAACTTGTTCCGCGTTTCTTGTTCCAACGTTTGGATTAGACGAAATGTTGAGTGACGTGTTACTATTCGTTTGTAGGGAACTCTGCCACCCTTCAGGACAATATACCAATTTCAACTGGATGTGCTTGTCACTTCCCTTTAAGCCACTCTGTTCAGGTACTACTTGTGCTTCCCCTGCTAATCGATCTTTTGCAACTTAATAATTTCTTGTGGGGCACATGTAAAATCTGTTAATGAAATGCAGCTACTTTACGTGTGCTGCGGTCCCCTTGCCGTAAATAAATAATAGTTCTCTTGTTGAAGAGGTGCATTAAGTCACGTTGCAGTCTCAATGTGCTGTTGATAAACCCATGCAGTGTTCTCCTCTATCAGTTCCTTGTCTGCGTTATTCTTCTCCTCAATCATACGGTACGGCAGGACAAATATAAGACTGTGGGTGGATGGATAATGCATTTTAAAAAAAAGGGGGAAGGGAGGCAAACAAAACCCACAACTGTTTTCTCTTCCAGTTTGGCGGCTTCTGGCTTGCTCTTTTCCAAGCAGCATGAATGTCATAAAGATTTTCCTCGCTAATGTTTTAGCTTAAAAAAGTAGAAATGTCAGTTACAGCCATGCAATATGTGAAATTAGGTCAGCTACAATTTCTGTTATTTCTTCAGTGCTACTCCAATAAATTCAAAAGCAAATTCTCAAGGTTTTAAAAAAAAAAAAAAAAAAAAGGAGGAAGGTTGAACACCATGACTTTTTAAAGTTTCAGTGTGCGTGTGTCTAGAAGGAACGTTTTTAGCAGCAATGTTTTGGGTTAATAGAGAAGACTGCTGAATGTAAAGACTGCACGCTTTCGTGCCATGCCAACCTGATCCAGCAAAAATGGGCGTTTGACAGTTAGCTCATTAACAGTCTTTCAGGACTCGAAGACTTGCTGGATGTAGCTGTGAACTGGAGGGTCTTTTACTCTTGAAAAGTGAAAGAAAGACAAAAATAATTCTGAACACTGTTTAAAAAAACGAAAGAAAACCCAACCCACAACAACAGCAACAAAAGCTCCCTCAGGATCCACCAACAAAATTTTTAATTGCAATTATTAATTGGGTCTTCAGAAATGGTTAATGGCGGCGTTTGTGAAGTGGCAGTGATCCACTAACGTGATGGTATTTCTGAAGTATTTTTGAAGACAGTGTTTCGGTGGGGGAGAAGGCGGGCTCTCCTGGAGCTGACCTTTTCCTTTTAGTTTCCAAATGAATAAAAGGTTCTTGAGAAGCCCCTTACGTTTCACTTGAACTTCTACGTGTGCGGGAATGTAGTGACAGAAGTCTTGAACTGACATACTTGGGGATAAGACTGTCTCAGTCCCTGTATTATTTGTGGTAGGGGTCCAAATTTAGACTGTTTCGGGGAGTTCTTGAGAAAAGCTGGACATACAAAGGCTGTGCGTTCCCCTCTCATCTGCGTTCCTGAATCCTAGCTGACCCAGGCAATTTTAACACCACCCTGTTACCTAC